AAAACCCTGCGTCTGCCACAAACACTTTGTCCATGGTGAATGTGTGACTCTCTTGGCTAGAAGGCTTGCCACCATAATATGGAGAAAAAACAACTCATACAGTGCCTCGCCTGGCCTGACAGCCAGGCCTGCAACTTTTGCCAGGTTGAAACCCCATGAAACCAAAAGACCTGCATGCCCCCGCAGCCAAAGATGCGGGAGGCTGCCACTCCGCCTCTGTCACTTGGACCTGCAATCGCATGCTGGCGCAGTGTGCCAGTAATGGGACGCCGGTGATCAGGAAGCCAGTTGATTAATAGGGGGAGGGCATCCTATTTAAGAGGGAATCAGGAATTCGCGGTCATCATGTGCAAGCTGGCGCATTGCATCTTAGCATGCTGGCCCTCAGTAGTCAGGATTGTTAGAACTGATAGTCCCATGAAGAAGCCAAGCAGTCGTTCTCAATCCCCATGCCGACCAAGTTAGCAGAAAATGGAACGGACCAGCGCACAAACAAGCAATTGGATGAACCAATACGCCTCCAAAGCAAGGAACCAACAAACCAGCAAAGCAATGAATCAACAATGCATCCTGGCAATAAGTGAAAAAGCAAAACAAACGAAACATAGAACCGTCTATCAAGCAAGCGCCCCGTTGCTGTCTCGCGCCTCCTGCGGAGCCTCCACCTCACGGGGAAAGGGCGACGGAAGCAAGGGGATGGCCGCCATACTTCGCAACACGCGTGATGGCGCAGCTTTGGCCGTAAACTCCACAAACCCTGCGATTGCGATTCTGAATCCATTCCATCGCCCAATCATTGAGTGAGCTGGGTCACAACATGAAGGGCTTCCCCTTTCCACTCTGCGGTGGGGCAAAGGAATTTGGCCCCGACCGAGAATCCCGCCTTGCTGGGGCTAGATGTCACTGGCGGAGGAAGCGCCTGGGGTCTCAAAGCGGCAGCTCACAGGCCCCAGGCCCCCTGGTTCTGTTTGCCGTGTTTGAACCACGGTGGAATCACAGGCAATCACGCCTGCAACATAATGGCTCACTGCCCTCGGGGTTTATCACCTGTATCTGGCAGAGTCTTGCTGTGTGCGCTCCCTGTATTCACACGGACCTACATGTACCAAGCTCTGCCATGTACTGTAGAAGCGGACATCTTCAAGAGGACATCTTCGGAAATCCATCCTGGCTGGATGATATATTCGCCGTTTTTGAGACCCCCCACGTGCTGGCGCTCAACCTGCGTAACCTAGCAATAGCAAGGCCCCTGGAGAGTATTCGCAGATTGTAGAACACCATCACATGTCCTATGCGCTCAAGTAGCGAAGGGAATCGTGGAGCCATTTGTGATGAGGAGCCTTCTTCACAGTATGGCGCGGAACTACTTCATCTACACAAAAAGGCAATCAACATCCTCAATGCCAGAACCCTCTGATGATGCAATGGCTCACATATCTGGGGAGCACTCCGGACAATCCTGCAGAAATGATCGTTTTCAAGTCAGTTAAAATCGCATGCCTCAAGAATCGTATTTTGCACCTTGATGCTGCGAAGCTGGCGCACACAGGCAAGGCGACACCACCCGAGCAAATGGCAGGCAATACATATCCAACTCATCTCCGTCTTGCTCACAGGGGAGGACTGCCATATGCCACGCTCGAAGTGTACCACCATGAGTCAGGGGCAGCTTCAGCTTTCCATACTTTTCAACAAAACACCCTGCGATTCCTGAATGGAGGCATACCAAGCTGGATAAACTGGCTACTGACAAGAACAAGGTCACGAACAGGTGCAATAAGAACCAGCTTGTTCCGAGCCCTTACAGTTCAGCTTTGAACTAAAATGCGCAGACCTTCGCGACCACCTTCAACCCGTGCAGTCGATGGATGCTGTGCAAACACGACAACCAGCAGCCCACGCTCGAGTCAGATTCATATGTAAGCTTAGGCTGCATCGCTGCACATATCCTGAGCCCAGGGAGAAGGAGCTGCAACGACTTGACCAACACAACAAGGATGGCCTGTGACTATTCAGATACAGAACGTCTCCAATCGCCCATATTCATCAGCAACAGCCGTAGTCCAAGCCCTGAACTGCGACAGCATCAGTAGAACCAGAAGACCCAGCTGAAGTGTGCTCGGAAATGGCCTTCCAATTCTGCAGATGAGTAGCGCCTATATGTCCAAAGGATGATACTCACTTTTCAGGATATTATGAATGTTCGCTACTGTCCATGTACGTAGTGGAGTGCAGCGGTCACTTTGCACATGTCCAAAACCGTGCTGCGCTGCCATTGTTTTCCAACCGTACCAGTGGCTACGGAATGAGAGTTTGCACGGCTACGAACAAAACGATTCAACTTCCGCAGCACTTGGCCTTTCAAGCCGGATGATGGAATCGTCCTGCACATCTTTCACATCACTATCCATGATTCTGTGTCTCCAAAAAGATTTGAGTCTGTCCTGTTTCTGCTCGCTGTGTGCTTGACACACAATGGAATCAGCGGGTAAAACAGTCT